CACCATATTTTTTTTTTAATTGATTGTCTCCCTTCACCCCCAGAACCCCCCCCGACCATCTTGGGGTGTGGGGAATTTTGGGGGGTTGAAGTCCACACATCTTCAAGTGGTCAAGGTTGAGAAACATTGGCCTAGACACAACCTTCCTGCTTCAGTGCCACTGAAACAAGGTAGAGTAACTTCCCTTTCTTTCCCCCATGGGAGCTAAGGGTTCTCGTTCCCATCACCTTCTCCTACCAATTGCATCAGGGACTCTCAAGGCTAAAAGAATATCTGGATTCTAGATTCAGAAAGGTCATGTGCACAACTGATGGGCAAACACCATCCTTTAGGAATCCTTCTGGCCAGTTCTGATTGGCACACGTTGTTTGGGTATCGATGTCAAATCAACCCACCCATCATCGACACAGAGAAGCTGGGGAGGGTGCAGAGGAAAGAGAGGAGGATCCTTGAGGATCCTCAAGCCCAGTCCTAGGAGAAGGGATCAAAGGAGCTGAGAATATGTTGATCTCAAAGAGAAGATATGACAGTAGTTTGGCAAATACCGAAGAGGCTGTCAAGTGCAAAAGAAAACAGACTTTTTCTGTGTTAAAACAGAAGGCAGGTCAACAACCAACTGGCAAAACTTAAAACAAAAGAGATTCAGGCTGAAGATCAGGATAAATTTTCTGATGGTATTAAGCAGCGGAACAGCCTGCTTAGAAGAGCAATGAACCCTGTTACTGGAGGGCTTCACACGGGGCTGGAGGTCCATCTGCCAAGAATGGCTGAGTTTCAAATCTCATTGATTAAACACGTGTAGCCACAGGCCATTGAGAATTGTTTAGCAGAACCTTGAACTATGCAGGGAGTTGGTCTACATGACCTCTAAGACACCCTCCGATTCCCACCTGCTATGCTTCTACGGCCATGATTGCAAGGCAGCATCCATGTGCAAAGCAACACATTTCAGCAAACCAGACCACAGGACATGAGCACAGCTGGAGGGAGGCCACCTCTGCCTTGCCAGCATCTCAGAGGCCCAAAGGACTTTTACAGAGCACAGAAATTAACCTCACCCCCATTTTATGAATGAAGCATGGGTCAAGTTACAGGGCTAATCCTTTTCCTGGGCTTGTCGAATACAGGGGAACCTCACTTTAGCGGCCCTCGGTCCAACGGCAAAGGGTCATATCTCCGCCTTTGCAGAACGACGCCCTAGTGATGGAATCTGCAGCCTTTGCGGGGTGATGCAAATGATGATCCCATCCGTGTCAGATCACACTATTCGTGTGACAGGGGCATTATGCAAAGGAGCCCAGTGACGTCAACTGCATCCATTTCTGTCTTTGGCAACAGACGTAAGTCAATGCCAAGGAGGTCATTTGCAACATTGCTGTAAAGACACTGCAATGGAAATGACATCTGTTGCTGTGATGTGCTTTTTTAAAATAGAGATTTGATGAATAACAGACACCCCCTTTCTTCCAATTAGGCGGTGAAGGTGTTGGGCTAGGAGTAGAATGACCTGTGTTTTAGACCCCCTTCAGCCACAGAAGCTCAGCATTATTATTATTATGGTTGGTCACACAGTCAGCCAGATGTTTAGACTTGATTTGGCATTTTTATCCACCTATCGAGGCCCCCCCAAGGACCTGGGAGAGGCAGATGTTGTTGTCTGATGGTGTTAAAGGTATCATCGCAGGATATAAGCTGCTGCTGCTGCTGCTGCTGCTGCTGCTGCTGCTGCTG